AATTTATGGAGCACATGTTGAGGTCGATGGAGCACATCTCCAAGGCGATGTACACATATACTGACACATAATGATTAACACGAGTCAGAAATAAATATATGTAACATCAAATTAATGCTTTCTCTGAGGAGTTATTTTGATGCGATTACAGATGAAATGTATAGGGGAGAGTGGGGTTAGCTGGAACGATTTTTCAAAATTTGACCATTGCTCATCAGCATAACTTCTTTTTAAAGAAATATCTATTTCACCACAATCATGACAATGTACTCTACAAATGCAGCATAAGAAATTTTAGTATTCCTTGAAGATGCCCGATATAATTCATCTCAACCAAGACTGTGACAGGTGTTCCATTTAACCCCACCACCGGGGTTAGTTGAAACATGGCATGGGGTAAGTTGGAACATATCATATTATTTGGTTTTAGGGTTGTATAAAACATCAGAACTCATTCATATTCATTAAAAACTTTATTTTCTACATAAAATACAAGACTAAGAGCCGATCTGAAGATTGCAAGTAAGTCAAATGAAAACACACAAGACCCCCTCCCTAATGTTATCGCCATGCAACATTGTCACTTTGGATTGTATGCAGACAAGTCAACTGGAAATACCAGTTTTTCGGTACAGCGCTTTGTGCCTCCACAATGTGTGGGTGCAGGTAACCTGAACACGACATCCTTCTTCTCATGGACAGAAATATCATCAGGGTCTGGGAATGAATATGTCGGTCGCACATCCTCACGGTCCTTTAGACTACAACATCGCAAGAACTTGGTTACCACTTCTACCACTGAAGCGAATAACCTGACCAATATAGTAATACTGAGTCTTTTTCCCCAAGAATCTCACAAGCACAAAATCTCCCTCTTTGATATTATCAGGTAGGCCTAAGTCCGGGTTAACGTAAATGCCTTCAGTCTCACTTTCAGAGGCTTCCTCATTGTCCGCAAAATCACTGCCATCTTCCTCCACGGGAGTCAACACTCTAACAATGTTAGATTTGGTTTTTGCAGGCCTCTTCTTTCTCCTCTTGGCAGCATCTTGCTCAATCATATTTTTCTGGCGTGTCTGTAAGAATTCTGGTTATCCCTGGTTTTCTACCAGCCTTTCTCTTTCTCGGTTCAGCTTTTTTGAAAGGTCTGATATCCTCTGGAGTGATGGGGGTTACACAGGATGAGGGACTAGGACCAGCAATAGGAGTTGAGGGGATAGGACCAACAATAGGAGTCTCAACTGCTTCAGCTGCAAGGGGTCGGTCGGTGACGTCTGAGGGCAAATACTCGTCATCTCCAAAAATGTTACGGTCAAAGGGGTAGATTCCACTAACCCTGAATCCAGACTGGATGTTGGTGGGTATCATTGCCCTAGGAAATGCCTTTCCTACCAGAGCTGGAATATCATAAATTGTCATCGTCTTCCCCTTGTTCTCTGTAATCCATCCATCACAAGCTGTATTGTAGTACCTCTTAAAGGGCCCATACACAGACCTGTCTAACGGCTGCAATTTATGAGAGCAGTGTGGGGGAAACGAAAGCATCACTATGCCATTTTCTTTTGCATAATCCAGTGTCTCAATGCTGATATGCGAGTCATGATTGTCCAGAAGTAATAAAACCTTGTTCTCAGGAGAACAACGGACATGTGCGACAAAGTGTTTCATGAACTGAAGAAAGTTCAACTCAGTCATCCATCCTGATTGATGAGCTGCACCAACTGTGCCAGGTGGTGCTCCATTGATGAAGTGATCCTTGAAGTGAACACGAGGAAATATTATCATTGGGGGGACAGTATTTCCTATTGCACTAACAGCACAACACACGGTGACCAGTTGCCCTCTCTCTGCGGAAACAATTGCACCAACTTGTTTGACACCAGTCTTTGCAATTACCTTGTCAGGCTTTTGGACGGTAGTACATCCAGTTTCGTCCAGGTTGAAGATCTTTTCTGGGGTGAAACCTTCCCTTTCAATAACCAACTGCAGGTTATCGAAGAATTTGCCAACATTGTACTTATTAAAACTAGTGGCACGACTCAGGGATGTTGCCTCGGGGGCTCTCAAAGAAATCTCTGGTTGTCTCTTCATGAATCCTTGTAGCCAGTCCTTACCAGCTTTCTCGTTTTCAATCCATGATGGTGGCATTTCCACACCTAGTCTATTGGCATACTCATAAGCTAGTTTTCTAGTTTCATCCATGGATAATCCATAATACAATCCAGAAGCCTTCAGGAGGTAATTGACAAGCAAGTTTTCCTGCTCAGCATTGAACACAGCACGATTGTTGAAATATCCAACACGTGGTATGGCCACATTAGCATTTGGAGCATTGTCCAGAATGTCCTGGTTATTTGCATTGCCCTGATTATCGGCATTGTTATTGTTATTGAGACGATCCTTCTCGCCACGCATCTTGAGAACATACCTTCGCAGGGTGACATGGGGTATTTCTAACTCACTTGCTACAGTACGACAAGGCCTTTGATTTATTAGGACTTCTGTTACTGCCCTTTCCATGATATCAGCGGGGGTCTGGCCACGATTTGTCTTTCGCTTATAATTGCGCATGGCTGAAAATAGAACAAAAAACTGCTATATATATACTGCCTTGTTGATTTTTGAATGTCGGGGTTAGTTGGAACAGTGTTCCAAATAACCCCACCCCCAATGTTCCAACTAACCCCGAGCAGCCATTTTACAGTTGCATGCAGACCACACAAATCTGTACATTGGGAAACACATTTATTTGGTCTCAAATTGTGTCTAAGTTCTAGTGTTTGAAGTGTGCAGAATCAATTGGCATTCATGTATTGACACTATTATGATATAATAAATTTTCTTTATGGTGAAAAATTTACTCTACGAGTCAAAAATCATACAAACCTTTCTCCTATGGTCAGCTATGCTTCCTTCATCATAACACAAATATGGTGGATGGATGTTGTTGTTGTATTCTCTTAGATGGCAGCACCTCACGGCTGCAGTTATTACTTTGTCTGGAAATCTAAATGTTTCAACTAACCCCGTGTTCCAACTAACCCCACTCTCCCCTACACATGACGCGAATATAATTGAGAAAACATACATATATTAGCAAGTGTAATTTATGGAGCACATGTTGAGGTCGACGGAGCACATCTCCAAGGCGATGTACGCATATACTGACACATAATGATTAACATGAGTCAGAAANCTACCATATACATATATACAGTTATTTTGATGCGATTACAGATGAAATGTATACACATGACGCGAATGTGATTGAGAAAACATACATATTTATCAAGTGTGATTTATGGAGCGACATGTTGTGGTCGACGGAGCACATCTCCAAGGCGATGTACGCATATACTGACACATAATGATTAACATGAGTCAGAAACTATGTAACATCAATGCTTTCTCTGAGGAGTTATTTTGATGCGATTACAATTGTGGCATTGTATTTATATAGTATCCTTATTTCTGACTTAAGTGCTTATGCATATACTGATAGTACAGGAGTGTGGGGGTGTGATGTGCTCCGCATCGACCTCAACATGTGGCTCCTAAAAGTTACACTTCGCTAGAACTATGTTTTTCTCAATTAGTATTCGCGTCATGTGTATATATGTCATCTGTAAATCGCTATCCAAAATACACTCCTCCAGAAGAAGAAGCATTGTGCTCCGTACATATAATTTATTTCTGACTCATGTTAATCATTGTATCGGGTCCTAGTACTATGAGGTGTAGCATCGCCTTTGGAGATATCGCTGTGGCCCTCCATTTGACCTCACATGTGCCTCCAGTAATTACAGCTTGCTAATATATGTATGTTTTCCTGCAATTATATTCGCGGTCATGTTATAGTACCATTTATCTCTGTAATCGCATCATCGAATAACTCCTCAGATGAAAGCATTAACTTTGATTTTTTTTGGTTACATATATTTATGGTCTGATTCGGCTAATGCTCTCTATAACTGTCTAAAGCCTTGTTAATCATTATTGTGCTACTGAGTCAATATGTGTACAGTCGCCTTGCGAGATGTGCTCCATCCGACTCTTTAAAAAAAAAAAAAAAAAAAATACCTCAATAGTGCTCCTACAATTATACAACGTGCCCTAAAGTATGACTATGTTTTCGCTTCAATCTATATTCGCGTCATGCTGTATACATTTCATCTGTCATCGCATCAAAATAACTGTATACATGTATATGGTAGTTTATAATGTTAGGCGTATGCTAGGCGTATAATGTTGCGCTATGCGATGTGCAATAACCTTTGCATTGCACGTATTAGTGGTAGCCATATTGCGTGACGTCATCATAGACCTGGAGGTG